TCCCATAACGACTTGTGTCACTTGGTGTCCAACAGACACACTAGTCACGGCTGACTGGGCAGACCAGGTATTCTGACAGCACAGCTCCCAGGCTAAAAAGAGCAGCCCTGATTGGGGCAGTGATGTGTGGTACGAGAGCAAACAGCCTGGGGCTTTGGGTGGGTTTGTTTATTTTCCTTTTTTTAATGTCTTTAACTGAACTGCACATTCTTGAATTCTGGTCTTCAATTTAAAATGGTTTTTTTTTTGCATGTTGGGGGAGAAGACTAGTCATGACACTTCTAAACACACACAGTGTTCTGATATGTCAGAATAGCTTCCTGTGTCTCGGCAATTCTCCGGACATGGCTTACAATGAGCATCCCCTCCCCTCAAGAGGCAGGATGAGATTCTCTTCCTTTGTTAGCCTCTTCTTTTACTTCCACCTCACCCTCATGTGGGGAGTAGACAAAAGATAAAACAGAGTAAAAAGACCCAAACTTTGTTAACCTGGAAACACATGGAAGCTTTGCTTTAGGTCCTTTTTTCCTGGCAGACTCCTCACCTGAAGCATGTGGAGAACCTAAGTCTTGGGCCTTGGAAGGTGCTGTGGCTCCAGGACGGGGCTGGGGCCCTGCAGGACAGGCAGAAGCATAAGCGTCTGAGGAGTTGAGAAGAAGCATGGGAGGGCAAGATGCCAGAGATGGAAAAGAAAAGAGAATTCCCAAATCTGAAGTAGATGCTACACGGACAAAGAGATGACCCTGTGGCTAGAAGACAACCTCCACTCATTCATACGGCTTCCGTGAGCAGAGATGCTTCTCTGCGATGCGCTGGGTCCACCTCCAGGCACAACAAAGAGTCACATTTGCTGCAGGCAGCCGCCTTTCCTAAGGGGTCCTCCCAGAGGCAGGGTGGCCTGAGGTTAAGAGCCAGGACCCTGGAGCCAGCAGCCGAGGCGGGGACTGCAGCTCCTCTGCCCCCCAGCTGTGCACACTTGGCCCAACTGCTCAGCCCCTGTTCTAGTTTCCCTCCATGTCAAGGTGGGATAACAAGGGCACCTGCCTCAACTGAACACACACACACAGTAAAGCACTGAGAACAGCTCCTAGTGAGTGCTCACTCCATGCTAGCTCTCGTTGTCATCAGAGACGGCAAAATCCAAACAATCACACCAGCGTCCGAAGGATGAGGCCCAGCCGGCGGGGGTTCTTTCGCTGCGAGGCTGAAGCAGACACTGTTGGTCGCTTTCTCCAGATCCATTGACCTCTAACCCCTTCTCTTTCTAACGAAACCCTCCACTTTCCATTTGGTTCAGATAGCCACCCCCTGGGTGGCCCCGTGCCTAAGGGGAGGGGGCCTAGCCACCACACCAAGGAGTGACCAGGGTTGGTCCAGGCTGCCTGCAGCGGCCAATGCCACCGCCAGTGACTGGTTTGGGTGGGGACAAAATCCTGGCCTGTGAGTCACAGGAAGAAGTTTCCCCGTGTTTATAAAGTCATAGCGGAAGAAACAGCTGCTGGAAAAAATCCGACATCGCGGCATCTGCGTGTCGAGCCTGGAATGCAGGCCACCTCCCGGTGACCGGAGGAGATGCGAGTGAGCAGACCCCGACCTGCGCTCCCTCCGGACTTCTCAGACGAGATGAGACGTTCCTTATTATCTCAGCTCAGTTGGGGGCCTCTGCTTGTCACAGGGTAGGACGACCAGACACCTCGGTGGCTGACGGGGCACCACCTGGTGGCGGGTAAAGCTACCACAGGAAGGGTTTCAGGAGCGCCTGACAGGGAGGCCCACCCTCGCTGATGGGTAGAGGGAGGGACGAGTATTTACTGAGCATCTGCTGTATGCAAGGGCGTCACTTACATTATTCTCATTCATTCTTGTGATCACTCTGACGGGTAAGTGCTGTTGTCTTGCCTCCAGAGACGAGGAAAGTCAAAGCAGTGGGAGACCTGCCCACGGCCCGTGGGCCGCTGCAGAGGTGAGACTTCAGGCCAGGTGCGCCTCCTTCCCACTAACTCCCTCTGCCTCCCAGGAGGTTAAGAGAGCAAGGAACCTGAAGACCAGAGAACTCAAGGGCAGCCAAGGAGACGCCCCGTAGTAAGGCACAGAAGAGGAGCCAGAGGGAAGCACAGTCCTCTTTGTGAACAAGGAAAAGCCGGGGCCGAGAGGATGAGGGCAAGGGAGCTGCGCACCAGACTCAGAGCACCCACTGGGTGGAATCCGAGTGCAGGTTAAAGCAGGAACCAGGACCAGCGGGAGCCTGAGACAACACCCTGAGGACCACCTGGGGCCCCACGGCCGCAGACAGCAGGCTCTTCACGTGAAGCCACAGGTCAGTCACCAAAGGACGGAGAGATGGGCCCCGGAGACCACCCAGTCTGCCTTCCCCTCGACTGACGGAGAAAACGAGACTCAGGAAGCCCACGGTTTCGACTGAACAAGGAGCGTGAATGTGAACACGTGCTGGAAGGTCTAAGTGCACATGAATTAGGGCGAGGCTGAGGAACCAGCCACCAGACCAAGCTCACTGCAGAAGAAAACAATTAGGAAACCCAAGCCCTGGGGTTCGGGCAGTTTGGGGTGCCAACTGCTAACTACTTGTTGGTTTAGGAAGGCTAGACCACACACACATTCAGCAAAGTCTGGCTCCCAAAATTCAGAGAGCCATTTGCATGCATTCTTGGCTCCAATAAGCCATGTGGACTTATATTTAAAACAAAAGAATTAGCATCTTTCATTCCCAAACTGTGTAGATCGCCCAGCAATGACAACGTATGTCTGAAGACAGCCTTCTTTTACTAATCGCTAGGTGTTCCTCTCTGTCTCCAATGTTTGAGTGTGGCCCGTTTGCAGGACCAGAGTTGTAGCTGGAAACATGCTACTGCACACAGCCAGCAGCTGAGGAGTGGATTTGGTTTGTTCTGTTTACTTTGGGGTCGGTGGGAAGGGACGACATTCATTTAAGGTCCTACCTATACCTCAAAGGAAGCTGTAGTAATAACCATCATAATGATAGCTGGCATCACCTAAGTGTTCCAGGTGCTTTATGCTGGATACCTTTAAGCCACGCAACAGCACTGTGAGGTGGGTGTTCTTATCCCCACCGACAGATGAAGAAGCCCAATGACAAGGACTTTGCCCAAGGCCACCCGGCTGGTAAATGGCAGAGCCCGTCCACGCCACCTGCCTGCCCAGCGCCAGGGTGGCAGGCAGAGCTGGGGCTGCAGCCTGTGCTGGCCAGACTGCACGGCAGAGAAAGCCTCGGAGCTGCCCTGTGGTCGGGCGTTACCTCTATCACCCGTTCCTCAGCCTCTCGCCGTCACCTTTCTGTTTAAACCGCGCTGCTTTACACTCACTCTTAGTGAGGGGGCTTCTATGGGAAGGAGGCCAGGATGAAAAAGGACTGAGATGAAAGGGCGCCCAGTGGTGGAGTTCCCCTTCAGCTTTCCCCTTCGAAGCCTCACTTTCAGTAACTTACAAGCTAGGCCTATGTCCCTCCCCTCCCCTAACTGTAACGTTTCATTACTGACCCACCTATGTTGAAAGCATGATCGTCATAAACAGCTGACTTTCCTAGGATAATTTCATGATTAACCAAGTTTGTGAAGAGACAAATTAAAGACATATACCATAAATAATATCTATTACATATCAATTACAAATATTGCATATTTCTTACAGAATAACAAATGAACCACAACAGAAGCAGCAAATCATGACACCAGGGTTCCTACTAATATAAACTATAGTGAAAGTAGATTTTTAGGAGCACATAATGCTAAAAAATTATCACACTAGGAAGAATTTTCTGGTGTTAATGGCATAAGCCAGGGAAATTTAGACAAACATTTTGTGGGTTTCTAGCTATTTTTGATTTTGAAATGTTTGACAATCTCAGAAGAGTTCAAAAAGGAAAGAAAATTTGTCACATTTCAAACCAACATATTGAATCAAGTAAATTAAACTATGATTCTCAAACTGCTCGTGTAACTGACAGGCCCAAATGCATTTTAAAAAGGGGTCCGATTCCAGCCCCCGAAGGCCGTGAGCATCTCCTCCCTCCCTAGTTGTGCGCCCTGATAGCTACCCACAACCGGCAAACAGGAACAGAGCTATATGCTCCTTTTTAAACACACGTAGTAGCTTTCGTGGCTAAATTACTCAATTCTTAAATATGTATCGCTCTGAGTTTCACCAGTTATTTTTACCACGCCGCTCTTGATTGGCATTTACTGCCGAAAAGCAGTAGTTTTCTCTTTCTAAAGAAAACCCTGCCTCAGTCGTAGACAAAAACCAAAAGGGCAGCCCTACTAATAATGATCTAAAGTTAATACAAAAGTAATTAATATTCCAGGACTTCTGCTGGTGTTGTTCATCAAAAAGGATGCCATCCGGGCAGGCGAAGTCATGTGAATACAGGCTTTCATGTGAGCTCCACTGGGTGAGGCACGAGAACGCGGACGACAAGACACAGCTCATTCTGCATCAGCTCCCTCTGCTAGCAATTACTTTTCTTTTTTTTTTTTTTGGCATTTTGGGTTTTTTAATTAAGAATTTATTTTTAAGAGCAGTATAAGGTTCACATCAAGATTGGGGGAAATGTACAGCAATTTCCCGTATACCTCCTGTCCCCACACATGCATGGTGTCCCCCATTATCAGTATCCCCAACCAGAGTGGGACATTTGGTTCAACTGAGGGACCTTCACTGATGCATCGTAATCTCCCATAGTCCCTAGTTTACATTAAGGCTCACTCTTGGTGTACGTTCTATGAGTTTTGTCAACTGTATAATGACACGTAGCCATCATTATGGTATGAAACAGAGTATTTTCACTTCCTTAAAAATCTTCTGCTTTCCACCTAAATCATCTTCTCTCTCCACCCTCTGCCCTTCAACCTCTAGCAACTACTAAACTTTTAAATTTTCCATAGTTTTGCCTTTTCCAGAAAAATAGCAATTACTTTTGACGAAGGGTGGGGATTGGGGGAAGAACTCTGAAAGCTCTCTATTACCTTTTCTCCTACTTGGACTTCGAGTTCTTTTAATGTCCGACAGCAGTTCATTTCACTCTCACCTCCCCTCAAAGAAAACAATTAAAAATCTTTTGTTAAAATGTTTTCACTACATTAATGCTTACATAGGACACACAGAGATCAAAACTATAGGAATTTCTAAATTACGTATTTTTAAATGCAAGGTCTTTCTTACGCCATCCGCCAGAAGCGTGAACTTGGGCCAGTTACTTAGCTTCTCCGTGTCTCAGGTCCCTCATCTGTAAAATGACACACGACATCGACTCCTCCTGGGGTGGGGTGGGAAGGGAGCGATTACGGCCTTCATGCAGAGAGCCCTCACGAAGGCCAGGCCCCGTCTCACATGACCCTCACTCCATGGGTTAGCGGCCACCACCATCCCGCTTTCCAGAGAAGGCTGGGGGAGCCGGGGTCACCGTGGGGAAGCCACGGCACCGGCTTCAGACCCAGGGGGCCTGGCTTCACGGGCCACGCCTAACCCTCGGCTGCGGCACTGTGTTCTGACCCCTGCGGGCTCCCGCTCGCCCCGCGGTGCGCACTGAGCCCCTCTGCAAAGGGCTTAGGACGGATGTGCGTCTATACCAGCCCCCTGTCTCCAGCCGCTTTTATTAACTATTTTTGATTTTGCATTACCTGTGTATCTATAAACCGCTTCACAGCCTCTCTTCGGAACTAACCATAGGGCTAGCGTGAGGGTAAAGAACAACAGAGGCCACTTCACAGTATTTATCCAGTGCCTCCTACACTCAGGCCTGGGCGTGGAGTCGAGCAGGACACCGTTCCCAGGCTTGAAAAAGCTTAATGCCAGTGACAGTGACAGACTGGAAATAAGTAATGTAAGCTGAAGTAATAACAAGTGCTCTGAAGCCAGTAAAGACAGGTGGGGATAGACTGGACACTGGGGTAAGATGGGCCGACTCTCCTGCATGGGGTGGACAACGGGGCATTTGAATAGAGACCCACAAGCTAATAAGCCAGGAGCCACCATCTCAAAGGAAAAGCTCTCCAGGCAAAGCAAAGGGAACATGCCACAGCTTGAAACCCAGAGGTGGCAGGAGCCTGGCACGTCCCAGGGCTGCTACTGCAGAGGCCAGGGGGACCAGAGCCCACCAAGCGGGGCCACGGAACATGGGGTAAGTCCAGAGATGGAGGCTGACACCAGCGCCATGGTGCGGGGGCCGTGATGAGGAGACTGGACTTCACACTGGGGAAGGGGAAGCCACTGGAGTGCTTTAAACAGAAGCTAACTTCATTTTACACACGAGGAAACAGGCTCAGAGGGGTTAAGTGCCGAGACCAAGTTAGAGATGAAACCAGGAACCCAGCCTTATGATTCCGTGTTAAATGTAATATATTTAATACGGTTTTTTTGGGGGGGAGGTTGTGGGGTTTTTTTGCAGTACGCGGGCCTCTCACTGTTGTGGCCTCTCCCGTTGCGGAGCACAGGCTCCGGACGCGCAGGCTCAGCGGCCATGGCTCACGGGCCCAGCTGCTCCGCGGCATGTGGGATCTTCCCGGACTGGGGCACGAACCCGTGTCCCCTGCATCGGCAGGCGGACTCTCAACCACTGCGCCACCAGGGAAGCCCTTTTTTTTAAAAAAATATGGTTTTAATTATGTATTGAAGAGATACAAAACACTATTTGTAACATATGTTTAAGATTTAAGGAATAAAAATCATACATACCTGACTTTGTACAGCTGTGTGCCCACCATCAGCTGAAGAAATGAAGTGCCACTGCCCCAGGGGCACAGGAGGCCCCGCCCCTCCCAACCTCAGCCCCTCCCTCCCTCCTCTGCATTTGGTCAAGGCTTCCTCAGCCCCAGTGGCAGCTCCTCTGCCCAGTCTGGCTCCAGTCCTCTTCCCTTTTCAGGGAAGTGTGTACCCCAAGCTCCATCTCAGTATCTGCCTCAGGGGAGCCCCGTCTACTGTCTGACATTAACTTAGTGATGCCTGCTTTCTTTAGATTAGTATTTATTTGAGTAGTATGTCTTTTTAAATCCTTTCACTTTTAACCTTTCTATAAAACTATGTTTAGGTTTTTCTCTTAGTGGCTTTTACTATCTGTTATCTTTGTCTTTCAAGTGGTAGATTTATTATAATTACTGATATATTCAGGATTTCTATTTTTCCTGCCTATTCTGCTGCTTCTTGCCTTCTTTTGGGTTGATACCATTTTTATCATTCCATTTCTGTGCCTCTATAAGTTTGGGAATTATACACTCCACTTTTAGACTTGTAGTAATTGCTCTGGAAATTACAACCAGCATAATTTTCAAAGACTCAAGTTAATCAGAACTTTCATCTTCCGACTGGACAAGGTACCAACTCCAGAACATTTAACTCTCAATTTACATATTACTACTATCACGGGTTCTAACTCTAACCTATTTTTAAATTCCAGAAGCCATCAGTATTCCCTACAGTCATGAGTGTGTCCCGTACTTGCCAAGTGTTCAGCCATCTTCCCTCAGCATCCCTTCTTGCATCATCTCAGACCTTCCACCTGGGATCACTTTCCTTCTACCTAAGGTATACCCCTAGAGTCTCTTCTTCTGGACCTGCTGGGGGCCAAATCCATTTTTGTTTGAGAATGTCTTTACTTCAATATTTAAAACAGTGAAAGATATTTTCTTTAGATACACAGTTCTAGGATGGCAGTGATTTTCTTCCAACACATCGCAGTTTTTATTTTATTTTATTTTTTTTTTTTCTTTTGCGGTACGCGGGCCTCTCACTGTTGTGGCCTCTCCCGTTGCGGAGCACAGGCTCCGGACGCGCAGGCTCAGCGGCCATGGCTCACGGGCCCAGCCGCTCCGCGGCACGTGGGATCCTCCCGGACCGGGGCACGAACCTGTGTCCCCTGCATCGGCAGGCGGACTCTCAACCACTGCGCCACCAGGGAAGCCCACATCGCAGTTTTTAATCCACTCTTCACCTGGCTCCCATTGTTAACAACTCAGAAGTCACTTTTGTGTACATGTTGCCCTTTGGCTGCCTTTAAGATCTCTTGGTCTTTGGGGTTCTGCCCCCACCCGTTTTAAATCCTTTTTGAGATTTGCCTTCTTGAATCTGCAGGAGAGCACTTTTCATCAGTTCTGGAAAATCCTCAGCCATTGTTTCTTTGGCTATTACCTGTCCCATCTCTCATTGCTCTCTTTACAGAGCTCCAATTACATCGTTTATGTCTCTGCTACATTCTGGCTAATGTTTTCTGACCGATCTTCCAGTTCACTTATTTCTTTAGCTGTGTCTAATACGTTTATTAAATTCATTGAGTTTTAAATTGCTATTGTGAGATAAAACCTTTACACAGAAAAGTACATACAGTACATATGCACAGTTTACTTACAATTAAGGCAAACACCTGTTTAACAATTACTCAAATCAAGAATTAAAGCCAAACAAAAGAGGCTCCCACTTGCCCTTCTCCAATCATAATATTTCCTCTCCTCCTAGCACTTAAGAGATCATTTACTTTTATTTTGTTATAATTTTACCACCTAGGTATGTATCCCTAAACAATACAGTTCAGTTCGTCTGGTTTTGAACTTCACATATGAACAGAAGCATTCGTATGTTTCTTCCTCCTTCACTAGATATTATGTCTGCGAGAGTCATTCAGGTTGCTGACTATACGTGTCGTTTGTTGGTTGTCATTGCTGTTTTTCCATCCACTTATTCAACAAATATACATTAAGCACCCACTATGTGCCAAACATGGTCCTAGGGGCTTGGGATACATCCATAAATAAAACTGATAAAGCTGCCTGCCCTCGTGGGGCTCACGTTCTAGAATGAGAAAATCACATTTGTGTGTTGACCTCATGGGTGTGAGCCAAGTGACCTACAGCTTTATTTGGGGGAGAAGCGCTGCGGACACTGGGGAACCACCAGTCAAAAGCCCTAAGACGGGAGCAACAAGAAAAGGACACAGTGAAGAAAGAGGAGAGCAGAGAGTGCCTGTCAGGGAGGCCAGCCAGGGCACAGAGGGCCTTGTGGGTACCGGGTACCGTAGGGTCACTTGCCTTCTGCCGTTTAGCATACCTTTTATGATTTCCTTTAGTCAAGATCTGTAGGAGGTAAACTGTCTCAGTTTTTGTCTAAAATGTCTGTATTTCACCCTCCGTCTTTATTTTTTTAAATGTTCCTCAGTGACTTCTATCATGTCTTTAATCTTCAGAAATTCAAAGACGCCGTCCACACTGAGATGACCTTCAGAGGCATAGAAATTCAAGATGTGATGCAGAAGGCTTCTTTTCTTTTGTTTGAATTGGTTCCTTTACTGGAGTTCCTTTAGCTGCTTGTTTCTTTGTAGCAAACAATTCTCTCCCTCCAAATCCTGCTTCTCTTGGCCAAAAGCCTTCTTTCCTCCTTTTTTCTCAACCTACCCAGGCTACCTGCCTAGAGTCAACTTCACATCTGCTCTGTTGACGGACGTTCTACCGCTGTTGTTTGCTTTATCCACTTGAATTTGTGGTACCTGGCCTGGCCAAGGAATGTTGCAATACATGGTCTTGTGAATGAATCTTTTTTTCAGCATTGTCAGAGCAATAATAGATCTACTTAGAAACTTTGTGGGAGGAGGGAGGGAGGATTCTGAAGCCCCGGAAACTTGGACAAATAAAGCTGGTTACGGTCATCAGGTGACCAAGGGAAGATTTTAGAATAGAAAAAGAGAGCAAAAACTCAGTTATCAGATTTGAGACTTGAGGGCAAAGTACATGGTCACAAAATGGCTAATAAGGGAGAGGAGGGAAATAGGGCATCAGTCTGTATCTGAGACAGTCCACAGTCTCCTTTTTATGTGTATTGTTTTTTTAACTTCTTAGAATCAGATCCATGCAGTTTCTTTCTTCTTTTACACACTCTTCCATAGTTCAGTTGGCCCTACATGTTGATGTGTGAAATGTGACATTACACAGGAAGGTCGGTTGTGTTCTACCTCACATCTAAGCCATAGTGAACGATAAGTTTTCACAGGTGACACCTAGTTGTAATATATGCCACATATGGCTAAAGGTTGATATTTGAATGAAGGAAATATTGATGCTGAATTAAAGAAACTGGATGTAAGTACAGGGAAAAATTCTTTGATTCTTGTTGCTTTGCCCTATACACAATGCACTGACACCCTGCACATATGTGTGAATGAATTTTGTTTCAACGTAATTCTCAGGCTCCTCAGTAAGTTCTTCAGAACTCTGTCGTGAATCTTTCTGGATGGTGCTCAGAAAGCTTTCAAAAACTTCTGCTAAGATCTGTTTCGATTGCTTTGTACGTGGAGGGCTGTAGTTATTCTTCAGGGAGGTAGCATTGCGCTGAGTGCCACATGGATTATCGAAGTGGGAAACACTTTTGGTCCATAAGCAGAAATGTTCGACATGTCCATCAGAAGCAAATCTCAAAGGTTCAATTTACTCATTTTAAATAGAATAATTCCTTGGATGTTTCTGAAGGGTTATTGATGATACTACCATTATTACAGATGATGTGAGGTCATCCATGGCAGATGCAAGAGCAGTTCCACATTTTGTCCTTACCAGCTCTCGTACACTCAGAGGCACAGACTTCTTGATAGCATTCCAGGTCCTAAATGTCTTCTGATGCAAAATATCCTCTTTAATCTTCATGTTGCTCCCAACTTAATCAACCACTGTAGCACATTCAGTAACTTCCTCATATTAGACAGTTCTGGTGAGGCTGAGATGGCCAGGACAGAACAGACGGCATACCTCTTCTGTGTTGTGTTCACTCTACGTTGTCAAGGGCATCAAGCTTTGGCTGATACAAAATATGACCTCTTGAACCAAGGGAAATGCTGTGACCACAATAATAAGTCCCCCCACCACCAATTCAGGGAATTTGAGCTGCAAATCTGTCAATGTCCTGAGATTTAGCCCAAGTCTAATGACCGGATAATTCAATGCACAGGCTGCCTCATTTTCATACAAGTCAGTGTGAAGAGAGTATACAAGAGCTAGGTGAAAAGTAACCTTGAACACCATAGGCAAAGGTGCCAGATGTGTCTTCCTTTTCCAAACACTCTGATACCAGTGGATGAGCAGATACCATGGCAAGAAAAGGAGAGGCTCTCAGGGGTTCCCACAGAAGAAGTTCTCTTCCTTATTCTTACAAACATAGTATAAAATTCTAGGATGGCAAATATTTTAGCTTCAGTGCATTGAAGACGTTTTCCCACAATCTCATACCTTTCACTGTCACTGTTGAGACATCAGTGTCAGTCTAACTGTCACTCCTGTGAAGTCAATTCCCTTTTTCTTCTCACTGCCTTTAATATTTTCTCTTTGATGCTGATGTTCTGCGGTTTTACCGTGATATGTCTAGACAGGCATTCCTTTTTATTTATCTGGCTTGAGATTCTAACCCATTACCTTTTCAAATATAATCTCTGTCCTACTCTTTCTCTTACATATCTGGAAATCCAGTGAGAAGTATTGTTGGGCCTTCTCTTCCCTCCTCCCATGTCTCTTATATCTGTTCTCCAAGCTTGATATCTCTCTCTCTTTCTGTGCTGCATTCTGGATAATATCTTCAGATCTATTTTCCACTCCACTAATGCCCTTTTCAGCTGTGTTGAAGCCACTGTTTTCACCCATCTGCTGAATTTTATTCTATAATGATTGTATCTTTCAATACCAAGAGTTCCATTTTGTACTTCTTCAATTGCCTCTTGTTTTGCACTCATATATTGAATTCATTCTTTCATTTCTTTAAAGATATTAAAACACTACTTTTAGATTCGGTATCTGATAGTTCCAATATCCCAAGTGTTTGGAGATCTGATTCCACTGGATATGATTTCCATTTGTTTGCGGTCCTCATTCTTTGTCTCTTCATATGTTTTCAAGGTTTTTTTGTGTGACACTTTATCTGTGGTTTTCTTTAAGGGCTATGTTGTAGATGTATTCTTCCACAGAAGGGCACATCCAGTCCAGGACCAGTAAATTTTAAGTAAATTCCCAGCCTGAGACTTTTCAGACCACACAGGTAACATTATTTTAGACACAGATTTTCATGAATTGACTTGTGATTACAATTTTTCCCCTATTCACCCAATGCCAGTCTTGAAACTGGTAGGTTTCCTTGTGCCCTTCTGCCATGCAGGTTTATATTTTGTAGATTATCCTTACAAGAGTGTATAGGGTCTTCCCTTAGGTTTCTCCACCTTGGGCAGACCCTGCAGGTTTTGACTCCTGTCCCCTTCACTCCAAACAGCCAACAAAACTGAAACACAAATTCACCAAGATTTGGCCAATACCTTCAGGGTAAAAACTGGCTTTATAGAAAGCTCCCTTCTCTGGATTCCAATTTTTACTGCATGCTTAGCCTCTGAGAATTACCTTCTTGCCAGCTCAGTAATGTATTAAAATATTTTACCTTTTATCCATCATTTTAGTAGTTTTCAGTGGCAGTGTTTTTCATGGAGGTAGCCTACCATAGTACTAGAAAGAGAAGTTTCTATTCACCGTAATTCGTGGTCTTCAACAATAAAGAGAATTTAGCTTCATGTGTAAGTCAGAAATCTTCCAAATTTAGTTTAAATATTTAGTCTTTTATGTTTAAGGAAGTAACTTATGATACTTTTCATCTCAAATTATTAGCTTTTCCAACTGTTGAGTTGTAGCATTTCCAACTGTTGAGTTTTTCAGCAAAGAATATTCAACCTAGATTACTTATTCCACAAGTGTGGATGGTTTTAAGTCAAGAACATGAATATAGAGCCTATAAAATGACCAGTGGTCCTTCTGAATGAGCCTGGAAGTTATCCTAGTTCACCACTTATGGAACATCAACTGATCAGAGCACAAAGAAGTCCCACATCGTGGAGGGGATAATACCTTGTCATTCTTGTTGGAGCTGCTGCACTAATTCTTTTATTTTTTTAATTGTGGTAACAAAAAAAACACATAAGTTACCATCTTAACCATTTTTAATATACAGCTCAGTAATGTTAATATATTCACACTGTTGTGCAACAGATCTCTGGGACTTGCTCACCTTACAAAACTGAAACTCTACACCCAGTGAACATCAACTCCCCCTCCCCGCTCCACACTGCTGCACTAAGTCTTACACGTCAGCTGCATCCAGGATGGATGCAATCACGAAAGCTGTAATACCAAAATTTGCTAATATTTCAGAACCAAATTTAATTGTTTACCCAATTCCTGAGAAAATGAAGCTTACCCATTTAGAGTCAGATAATCTGAGTAATTTTTTTACTAAAATAATATTTCCTACATCATACACTAGAATCAAAGACCTTTACAGCTGATAGAGACATTAAAGTTCAGACTTTAACTCTCTCGTTTTGCACATAAAGCAAATGAGCTTCATGCTCATGCTACAATTATGAAATACAGAGGAGCTCATACAAAGATCTTTTTAAAAATACTTCATTTCTAGCTACCAAAATATGATCCCTATCCAATGAAAGACATTAAAAATGTATAAAAACAAACAAATTTAAAATTTGGCATCTTAATGCTTCTACTTCAAAGTTTAAATTCCTTATTTCCAGGGAATTCCCTGGCGGTCCAGTGGTTAGGACTCAGCGCTTTCACTGCCGGGGCCTGGGTTCAATACTTGGTCGGGGAACTAAGATCCTGCAAGCCACATGGCACAGCCAAAAAAAAAAAAAATTAAATTCCTTATTTCCAAATATGAAATGCATTGCATATGAAATATGTTAGTCTGGTTTTAATTTGCTATGTTTCCAATTTTAATACAATATTATTTCTCTTATTCTGAAATATATCTCATTTAGACGTTAGACTCTTCTCTGAATAAAATTTTTGACTGAGGATTGTATCTGTTGACATGATTTATCTCTAATGACCTTGTGTCCTATTTCTTATCATTTCAAGTTTCACATTTGCATATGAGGAAAAAAAAACTTACCTCTGTATAACATTTATATTCAGGTCAATTCCACCAAATCTGGACAGGAATACAAGGTACGGAAGGGCACCAGAGCTGGTGAGGGGGATCTACGCCCAAACAAGAAGAATAACAGCCCGTTAGAGAATTCAGATCCAAGCAGTGGACAGCACGGCAGGTTTCATGATGTAAGGCAGGACGTTCTTAGTGGGATGGGCATTCCAGTAACAGTCACAGCTACTCAATCCAGGTGTCTGAGTTGACGTGCACCCTCAGCAGACTAAGCAGAAGCAGCATGAACGCCAGAATGCCAGTCTGTGCTCAGTTAAAAGCCAACAAGGTGTCTACAAAGTTCTCTAAAATCTAGGTCTATCTAAAAGATAAGTACAATTAATAGAAATATATTCTAATATACATGTTATATATGTATATGTATTTTTATATATGTGTATATGTATTTTTATATATGTGTATATGTATAAATATATATATATATATATTTTTTTTTCCCAAAAGTCTGAGGCATAATTAACCCTCTGAGTGTCAAGTGTACTTACTGTACATTCATATAATTTCAAGGTAGAAAAAAATCATTTTCAAATCTAAAATTCTATAAAGGACGTCATTGGGTCAAGTGGGTTAATATGGAATTACTATAGGGTAAATTAAAGTATTATTATCTCAATGTTTAGTTTACTGAAGTTGTTAACTGTACTGTGATTATGTAAGAGAATAGCTCTTATTCTTAAGGAAATACACACTGAAGTGTTTAGAATTAAAGAACCATTAATATAAGCAACATCCTCTTGAACGGTTCAGAAAAAAATTATGTACACATTGTGTATTTCGTATATATTATTTGCACATATGTATGAACGAAAGATCACGGGAGAAGCAAACGAGGCTAAATGTTCACAACTGTCAAATCTGGGTAATGGGTGTATGGCTACTGCTTGTACCACTCTTATCCTTACAAATTTTCTGGAGCTTTGAAATTACTTTTAAATAAAATGTCAAATTTTTTTAAAAGTGAAAATAATTATTTCACCCAAAAAAGCATTATGAAATTAAAATTAAAATAAATATATAATCAATATAAATGTATTTTATTAAGCTCCATGCAAATACACAAAGTACAATTTCCCATACAGCTGAATGGCTCCCAAGCCTATACAACCAAGTTTGATATTTACTTAACCCTTAAAGTTCCAGCCTCAAAGCCTAGCACGGTTATCTCAGTCTTCCCCAAAGGACAAATTTCTCCTTGCTGTTAAAAACATGTATAACTAGGAAATGGGCCCAGAGGGAGAGTGGCTCACAGGGCAGGCCTTTGTGAAGCCTTTTCCTGGAAAGGACACCCAGGACTTGGATTTCTGACGGGGCATTTTTTAGTAGATATAATTTGGGTAGACGCTTCAAAGGTTCCCTAGTTTTACAGAAGAAGATCAAGAACAGATTAAACGTGCAGTTTCCCAGACTGGATGCCCTCCTGGTCTTGGTAGTGATAAGAGTTAACATGCAAGGGAAGAAACTTACATCTGGAGAGCTCATACCTTATAAACGGGTACAGGCACTGCTCTTGGTTTTAACTCATTTAGCCCCAAACTACCTTCTGAGGAGGTTGAAATTTTCCACATTTCACAGAGCAGAGGTGTGACCTCCCTGCATGGCACTGCCATTAAGTCATTTAGTCACAGAAATCTGTGACTCCAGAGCCCAGGTTCATCTCACTACACTAACCACCCTGCCTTAAAATCCATCAATCTATTGAAGCTGGGACTTCCCTGGTAGCACAGTGGTTAAGAATCCACCTGCCAATGCAGGAGACACGGGTTCGATCCCTGGTCCAGGAAGATCCCACATGCCGTGGAGCAACTAAGCCTGTGCACCACAACTACTGAGCCTGTGCTCTAGAGCCTGCGAGCCACAAGTACTGAGCGCGCATGCTGCAACTACTGAAGCCCGTGCATCTAGAGCCCGTGCTCCGCAACAAGAAGCCACCGCAATGAGAAGCCCGCACACCGCAATGAAGAGTAGCCCCTGCTCGCCGCAACTAGAGAAAGCCTGTGCGCAGCAACTAAGACCCAACGCAGCCAAAAATAAATAATAAATAAATATTTTTAAAAATCTATTGAAGCTTTTGTCACATTTCATATTGCTACTTATGGTCTAATGCAAATTCTAATGTGGCAGATACACATTTGCAATGACTGGTCTACAAAACTAAGCGCTTAGACAACCCAAATCACCTCTCCAGTATTTGCTATTCTGGCAGAAATGTTGGAGAATCAAAACTGTCCACTGATGAATCACTGAAAGCAATTCTTAGACTGGGGCTGGGGGAGTGTAGTTTGTAAATCCACATCCAGTATGTTGATAAGTACCTTCAAAGACTTCTCTTTCCCCAACCCAGCACAACCACCAGGACCAGAACGGAACTTAGTTTTCCTTCTCTGGAATCCATTTACCAATTCAACTTCTTTTAAAATGTTTATATTAATATTCAGAGACTGAAGCCACTTTTTTTTATTGTATTGTTTTAAATTTTTTTTAACATCTTTATTGGAGTATAATTGCTTTACAATGGTGTATTAGTTTCTGCTTTATAACAAAGTGAATCAGTTATACATATACATATGTTCCCATATCTCTTCCCTCTTGCGTCCCCCTCCCTCCCACCCTCCCTATCCCACGTCTCTAGGTGGTCACAAAGCACCGAGCTGATCTCCCTGTGCTAAGCGGCTGCTTCCCACTAGCTACCTATTTTACGTTTGGTAGTGTATATATGTCCATGCCACTCTCTCACTTTGTCCCAGCTCACCCTTGCGCCTCCCCGTATCCTCAAGTCCATGCTCTAGTAGGTCTGTGTCTTTGTTCCCATCTTACCCCCAGGTTCTTCATGACCCTTTTTTTTTAGATTCCATATATATGTGTTAGCATACGGTATTTGTTTTTCTCTTTCTGACTTACTTCACTCTGTATGACAGACTCTAGGTCCATCCACCTCACTACAAATAACTCAATTTCGTTTCTTTTTATGGCTGAGTAATATTCCATTGTGTGTGTGTGTGTGTGTGTGTATATATATATA